TGCGAGGTAAGTGATGTTAAACAATTGTTAGCCAAACATTTAAGCTCAAAATTCCGCGACGAAAGAGATTTAAGATGAAATGACGGATAACTTTGAAAAAGACGTTTGGGAGAACTAACCAAAATAAAATTGAAAATAATCTCTGATTTTACTTTCTATTTACAGGCTCACAAGAAAACTTGGGTAATTTCAAGAACACGACCTCATGTTCATCAGTGTTCAATAAAGATAAAACTTATGTCAAATGGAGAATCTGTACTTTATTTACATATATGATATCAGTCGTCCAGTCTAAAAGAGAGCAGATTGATGACGAGAGTGACCAAGTCGCTATGGGTTTTAGCATTTCTTTTGATTGGTTAAGAATGACACAAGTTTCCTGGACTAGTTACAGAGGGAAGTGAAGCCGAAACAATGTTATCGTGAATTACTTTCGACGTTCACTATAAATTACTCTGTCGTAATTAACCCCTTAGTGACCAAGACAGAATTCTCCTTTCAAAATTGAGGAAATAATGATTAAGCAGACGTGTCATGCATGAGAAGAGGAATAAATATCAATTAGGGAATCACTCCTTGATCCAATATCAAAGTCTTCGAACTAACAATGAAAGAATTGTATGAAAAACAGTGAGGAGAATTTTCAATTAAATCTTGGGTCCACTAAATTTTCCTTACAGTTAGAATAACTGAAGTCACAAAGGACGGAAATATTGAAATACCTTAAAAAAGGTCCTCAAACGAAAAATCTTTTCTCAAAATGAAGAATAATACATATGAAATGTAAATAATATTATCATCAGATGGTTTAGTCAAACACAAGCGATCGGCTGAGAAAATAACGTCAAAGCCAAGAAGTTAATTTGATTTATGAATCAATCATTAGTACTTATAAACAGGGCTGCAAAAATTTGGGATTGAATGCTCCAAAAAAAATTTCACAGACTTACGTACAAATTTTGAACATTAAACTTATCTATCAAACTATCAGCCTGTGCCAAAAGGGTAAATAGTCCTCTCATACAAAAACCATCGTAACACCTAAAGGGATTTCTGACCAAACGATATGGGCCTGAAAATATTTTTCGTGGCATATTTGTAGCCTCAAAATTTACTTCTGGGCGCTTTATTATCTTAACTTGGCTAAAACAATGTGTTGATGAGGAGTTACTCATATGACGGAACCGTTGAAAACGTTTTAATGATTTAAACATCAGTCAAATATCAGTCAAATCCTCCTCTCGCACATGCATGACTTACAGGAATTTTACTTAGCTTTAGATTGGAAATACGTGATTTGTGCGTTGTTCTTTTCATGAAAATATGATGCCACGAAAATAGGGAAATAGTTATTTAGTTTTTCGGGACTTTTGTTCCTTTCCAAATGCAAGTTGAAAATTATTTGTTAGGAAATAAAGTTCACTCATCCGACGAAGAACTGTTTGTAATATTGCACCTTTGACAAAGACAGATGCAAAAAGTCTGATTTCTCGGTCTCTTGTAAGAACTTTCCACAGCTAACAAACTGCAACTCCTATTGGTCAAATCTTTTAGAAGAGTTACATCTCCATAAAGATGATTCCACGATTCATCATTTCGCCATTCTTCTTGCCAACGTTGTTCTGCGGGCAGTACAAGGTAAGCAAGCTTTCAGCAAGAATTACACAGTTTATGAGGTCTTAAGTGTCTATGACACAACATTTTTTAGCGTCTTCTTGTTGATAGCTGTATTCAGAATTTAAAATAATCGACCTTAGCGCCAAGTGACTTTTCCTTGACCATTTTTTACGCATTGAAAGTATCCCATTCAACGTGCGGCTCAAACGATCAAGCATGTTACACAGCTGTGACGGCAGAAAACTGTGAAGACATGTCGGCAACTATGGTAGTAAAGGAGAAATCAAGAGGAGAGGACGAACGTATTGCGTGGCAGGAGCGCCAAATGATGTAAGCTACAGGAATAATACACATACACTGGGTTTTTCTATATACTACTTTCCAAAGGATGTAGCTATACGGCCAAAATGGACGCATTTCGATCGTCGACATCGGGGACATTTTACTCTTCAAAGTCGTTGGCCTTTTACTCGGTCTCGGCTTCGAAAATGGCTGTTACAAAGGGTAACCAACCTTAGATAATAATACCGAAAAAAAATGGAGAAGTGTAAGAACGCATCTTAATAAACACTCTGATATCGCATAACATTTACGTCGCATCGTAATTCCTTCCATAGTCCTGTCCTTTATTGCATTCCACTGTACTGCTACCATAACTCGCTACAGCTGGAGAAAGGCTCCAAATCTTTACTAAGAATTGCAAATAATATAACTTAAGTCTAAAACGGTTTTCAGCCGGGGAAAGTTTCCAAGTCTTCACTAAAAATTTCACATAATATAACTAAAAGTCCACAACGTTTTATGCTCACTCGAGCTCTTGATCAATGACTGATCTTGAGCCCAAAAATTCTCACCCTAACAAGCTTTTTTAAAAAAATATTAAGCAGTTTTTTCAATCAACTTTAAAACAGCAATCTAGTGCTGGTTGTTTCTTTTAACCAAACACCACAGATTGTGTGCATTACTTAGATCTTTGTTTCGTCGACATTCTCTACACGAATGTGATCTACATTGATCACTTGAGCTGATTGTTCCCTCAGAAATTCAGCGGCTTTTGCCTCCAAACATGCGCGATAGCCTTCTCTATGATAAGCAGCAAACATTACTGGCGTGTAGAATTGATTCGAAGTAGAATGCTGCGGAAATGCTCCACAAATCCCCTCTGAAAAACCCCTACAAGCGTCACCATGACAACACTCGCAGCAACAGAACGTCAGCCTGTCGACCTCCTTGGCATGAAGCTCTGGTCCAGTTCCCCGATGCCCCTCATCAAGATTCTCCTTCCAAGCCTCCTTCCACGTCATAGGTTGCGTCATCTTAATTCCCTTATTAGGGTGTCTAGGAGCAATGAAAAGCACCTCTGCCTCACCGACCATGTGGTCGCCGTCTCCTTCTGGATCTCTGTCAAAGTATTGGACTTTGAACCTTGGGATAATAAAATCTTTCCTTTAAATATTAATAGACTGTCTGACTTTTAAGACGAGCAAGCTTCTTTCCAGATTTAACTGTAGGTTTTACGAATTGCCTAGAGTGTTTCTTTAATCGTGCAAACTTAAGAGTGCGTTTCGATTGTGGGATGTTGGACAAAACTTAACAAAGGTGCGGAGGAACAATTTGAAAAAGTGTCAGGTGGGGGGGACTTATCATAAACTAAGCCAAACGCATATCTTAGGAGCCAATTGGAACTCAAACGTACAAACTGTTTGAAGCGCGGAAAGAGGCAAGGGACCTAGTAGGTCGCCATTGTTTTTAGTTTTGCATCTGAATGGCCGGAGGAATGGCGTGCACATTCCTCGCCAAGAGCAGAGGGGTAGTAAAACACCAGTCCCAGTCACTGTTAAGTCTCAATGAAAAAAACCGCTTGACTACATTTTGCGGATTGGTCCAAAAGCTTTGTTCAGCTAATACTAAGTATTTCCAACTAAATTGAAATGAGACGTTTGTGCGCAGCACCTTAAATGAAAGCGGTTAAACAACACTTCATATTAGTGAGTTTTCGTGCAACATACAAGTTAGCTGAACCTTAAAAACTAAGTCACAAACCTGTAACTCCTAGGTTGGTTTCCGGGACTTCTCTCCACAAAGTTTATTCGAATGTCTTCATTGATGTCTCGACCATCCATTCCTGTAAATGAACATCTCAGTTTTTTCCTGGCCATTTCGAGCGCGTTCATCAAGGTGTTACAAAACGCTTGTTCTGAAGCCGCACATCCACCATAAACAGAGATGATCCTTTTCAGTCTGAGTCTCAGAAGAGGCAAGATTCCAAGGTTTTCAACATGACCACCATCATTTAGACGCAACACAGGAGGGGGACTGGGCCCAAGGTTTAGTATCCCGAGTGTTTACCGAACATAACTGATGTAAGGTATGTGGACAGCAAAACATCTGACGAAAAAAAACAGCACTGATCACAAAACGACTTTCCTCTCCATAAAAAATTTTGAAAATTTTCATCGAAACTTTTCTAGAAATCAGATGCGACAAATCTTTCACCTGTGGTGTGTATGGCTTTTAGTGTAAAAGGCTAGCCAGTATTAGCTGTTCAACTTATTGGTTAGGGTCAAAGCGCACTAAAAGCAAGTGTATACGTGCGTGCCTTTCGGTCATCACTGCGCCAGCAGTGTTCGTTCCATCCTTTTGAACCTTGGGATAATAAAATCTTTCCTTTTTTTCTCCGTTCCGCTCCTCGCATTCTGGGACTGTTTTACTATGCAGGTTTTGACGTAATTCTGATCATCACGAAGCGAAATCGTGAGATTTTCAAGATGTTAATAACTCTGATAGTCGCATTTTTCAATTGTCCGCGCTGTTCAGTGAAACTCGACATTTTCGTTTCATTGCTCTTCTAATGAAATGGTGCCATTAATCCGATAAATATAGTTTTCAACAGGAGTTTTCGCAGTTGTGTTAAGGAAGTTTTGTCGAAGCGCTATTGTTGTCAACTTGTGTCTGCTTGACTTAAATTACAAAGTGGAGACCAGTTTAAATGTAAAATTGGTTTCAGCGGACTGTCAAATTTCTTTAGTTAGTGAGAATACACTAAGTCTAAGTTGGGTTATTAACTACTTTCAGATTCTGCCAACGCGACTGGCTTCCTGTCCGTGAAGTTTAAAATATTTTAATAGCGTTTCTAATCAGTCCGATTCCTTGCTGCTATCAATTTTATGCGTTCATTATTTTGCATAATCTGAAAAGTCTCAGTTTACTCTCGTGAAATTGGTAATCGATAGTTAATTCGTTTCTTGCCATTGATTGAGTTTACTTTATTCCCCTAAATTGAAGGGTCGACGGAAAAATCGCACCTGTGACCAAATCAGGCAAAGACAGCTGCGTAAACAATCCCATAATCCCATAGTTCCTTTAACATCGCTACACGACTGTCTTTTTCCTGAAGTGTTAATTTGCTTGAGCATCTCACCGCAATCGTATCACTTAGAGACGTTTCTACGCCATGATTTTCCAGTATTTCATTTTGAATGCTATTCTCGCTTCACTTACGATAGCATCAGTGGGTAAGAGATCTCCATCTCGTCATCTTGAATAAAGAAGATGGGAGAAGCGCATTACAACTTATTGTACAAAAAGTTGTTTTTCAAGAATATTTATTTAGTTGTTGAACCTTATGAAGACGTTAATTTAAGACGTTTTGAGTTGCTTTCAAGTAGAACTGTCTACGAGGGGCTAAAACTATCATATGAAATGCTGACTCCCACTCATCGCTAATTACAAACGTTATATTTTGTTCTCATTATCGTTTCAGACCATCAAGCGCCGGTTTTTACGTATTGCCCAAAGTGCATCACAATGAAAGAAATCACAGAGCCTGAGACCCGCGTTCACTGGTCTGCACCTACAGCAACTGACGATTCTGGTGTGAAGCCCTACATACATTGCAACAAGCAAAATGGAGACATATTCAGTGTTCCCAGTACAACTGAAGTTGTTTGTACGGCGAGAGATTCCGCTGGTAATAGAGCCACTTGTAGCTTCAGGATCACTCTAAAACGTAAGCTGAAGCTCTTGCATTTGAATAAACAATTTCTCAAGATGATCTAATTAAGTAAAAGAAAAGGTTAGAATTTGGAAGTAACAGTTGATTGCGTGCTTTCGTTGTCCAGGTGAAAGTATTCCCGATAAGGGTGTTCTCGGTAACAATAGCTGACAACGAGAAGCTTAGCTGAAGTCTAATAGTAACCCTTGACTCTAATGATGGTTTCTGCTTACGATGTCATAACATCAATCACCGTTGCCAACAGCAGTCCTTTTTAGGTTTACTCGAACCCAGGCCATTAGAATTCATGATCAACAGATTCAGTGACTGAAAATATATGAGAGAAAAACCGCTTTTATGCAGCATTATGCTGCCTGCTATCGAAGTATGAGTTACACCTTGACTAACCGAAAAATCTAAAATTTGACATCTTTACTATATTTTATATCTATTAATTATGTGTACAATTCGAAAATAGAAGGTTAAGAAAATATGAAATTTCTACTTACTGGACTGGAAGGGCGACATTTTAAAGTCGGCGTCTTCTTTGCTACAATGATTTTATATTTTTTCTTTCTTTTGTTGTCAACAGGAAAGGAGTGCCCCATGTTCGATCCTCCTCAAAACGGAGCTCTGGCGTGCAACAAGATTGGTGTAGAATATCTTTGCGCTGCGATGTGCCAAAATGACTTCGACTTCACTTTCAACCCCCCTTTACTGTACTTCTGTTCAAGTGGCCAATGGAATTTTTTTGGAATCGGCTTACCGTACAGCACACAACTTCCATGGCCTAATTGCTCAAGTAAGTTTGTTGCCAAAGGACTGACCTGACGTTTCCGGGGTATTTTAAAAACCCTTTAAATTGATAAACGTGGAAGTACGAACAAGAAAAGGTTATCAGCTGAGAAGGGGGAGATTCTTATCATAAAGAGTTGTACGCGGGTACGAAACCGAAAAAGTGCAAAATCTTTGAGAGTGTCAAGAAGCCCGGAGAATGAGTAATATTTTTACAAAAAAAATAGGGTATTACTATTACTAATTCAAGTCATATATTCACAACAGAATCCCCTGTCTATATTTCCGCTCTCAATATGAAATATCTTAGGGACAAATTTTACTCAAGGGATATAAAAAACGAGTCGAATATGAATCATGTTATATAAGGTAAGGTTAAAGTCTTGGATCCTAGACTGGAGAAACTGCTACACATTTTGGTTGTGCACCCCAGTCCTCCAAGAATCGGCTGTAAACAACACTAAGGCTCACTTGTTCGATGTATCAACAATTTTCAGGGATTGTCAATTCATTAAGAAAAACTGAAAAAACATATTCAATAAAAACAATGTTAAAATACCATGACTGTTTAAGCACCTCTCCTAAATAAGTCAAAGCAGTTTCTATCAGATGCCTGATGACAAAAAGCATACACAAAATATATGTATTGCTTTGTTTTCTTCTCCACAAAATAACAAGATATCCCTTCATTCTGAAAGTTAATATACTACCAATGTTTTCGGAAATGATAACAGCTACAGAGTCAATTTCACTTCAATCTCTTTCCTCCTTGTTTATTTGCAGGGACAGCAAATCCATCCATATTGAAGTTAAATAATCTCTCTGGTTATTTCTTTGATGGTGACATCAACGATCCCAATGTCCTGCAAAGCGTTAAACTAAATTTCATGAATTTGGCAACCGAGCCCTACATCCCTCCGTTTTTTTGTAAACAGATACCGGACAAGTGCAACGTTAAAACAATTGAGGTGTATCATAAATAGGGCCGCTCAAAGTAAGAAAAATAACATGCACATATATGTTACAACCCCTTTAAGGAGAAGTATGTAGTAATCTGAATGGTTACGTTACGCTTCATATGTATTCCGTGATAAAAAGTGAGGGAAGGAGTGGCCGTAGAGTGTGCGTTTGTAAACTAAAGAAAATAAAAACATTGACCTGTCTTGTTGTTGACTGTTTTGAACGACTGATAGATTTAAACTATAACAGTTATCTTATTCGTTTTTCGATTTCTATGCGAGGTAAGTGATGTCAAACAATTGTTAGCCAAACATTTCAGCTCAAAATTCCGCGACGAAAGAGATTTAAGATGAAATGACGGATAACTTTGAAAAAGACGTTTGGGAGAACTAACCAAAATAAAATTGAAAATAATCTCTGATTTTACTTTCTATTTACAGGCTCACAAGAAAACTTGGGTAATTTCAAGAACACGACCTCATGTTCATGTTCAATAAAGATAAAACTTATGTCAAATGGAGAATCTGTACTTTATTTACATATATGATATCAGTCGTCCAGTCTAAAAGAGAGCGGATTGATGACGAGAGTGACCAAGTCGCTATGGGTTTTAGCATTTCTTTTGATTGGTTAAGAATGACACAAGTTTCCTGGACTAGTTACAGAGGGAAGTGAAGCAGAAGCAATGTTATCGTGAATTACTTTCGACGTTCACTATAAATTACTCTGTCGTAATTAACCCCTTAGTGACCAAGACAGAATTCTCCTTTCAAAATTGAGGAAATAATGATTAAGCAGACGAGTCATGCATGAGAAGAGGAATAAATATCAATTAGGGAATCACTCCTTGATCCAATATCAAAGTCTTCGAACTAACAATGAAAGAATTGTATGAAAAACAGTGAGGAGAATTTTCAATTAAATCTTGGGTCCACTAAATTTTCCTTACAGTTAGAATAACTGAAGTCACAGAGGACGGAAATATTGAAATTCCCTTAAAAAAGGCCCTTAAACGAAAAATCTTTTTTCAAAATGAAGAATAATACATATGAAATGTAAATAAATATTATCATCAGATGGTTTAGTCAAACACAAGCGATCGGCTGAGAAAATAACGTCAAAGCCAGGAAGTTAATTTGATTTATGAATCAATCATTAGTACTTATAAACAGGGCTGCAAAAATTTGGGATTGAAAGCTGCAAGAAAAATTTTTTTACAGACTTACGTACAAATTTTGAGCATTAAACTTATCTATCAACTATCAGCCTGTGCCAAAAGGGTAAATAGTCCTCTCATACAAAAACCATCGTAACATCAAAATAGATTTCTGACTAAACGATATGGGCCTAAAAATATTTTTCGTGGCATATTTGTAGCCTCAAAATTTGCTTCTAGGAAATTTATTATCTTGAATTGGCGAAAACAATGTGTTGATGAGGAGTAACTCATATGACGTGCCGTTGAAAAAGTTTTAATGATTTAAACATCAGTCAAATATCAGTCAAATCCTCCTCTCGCACATGCATGAGTTACAGGAATTTTACATAGCTTTAGATTGGAAATACGAGATTCGTGCGTTGTTCTTTTTTATAAAACATGTTGCCACGAAAACAGGGAAATAGTTAGATAGTTTTCAGACTTTTGTTCTTTTCCAAATGCGAGTTAATTATTATTTGTTAGGAAATGAAGTTTACTCATTCGACGAGGAACTGTTTGCAATATTGCACCTTTGACAAAGACAGCTGGAAAAAGTGTGATTTCTTGGTCTCTCGTGAGAAATTTCCACAGCTAACAGACCGCAACTCTTATTCGTAAAATCTTTCAGAAGAGTCACATCTCCATAAAGATGATTCCACGATTCCTCATTTTCGCCATTCTTCTTGCCAACATTATTATGGCGGCAGTATTGGGTGAGCAAGATTTCAGCAGAATTATGAATGAGGTCTTTAAGTGCCTATGACATCAATTTTTTTTTGTTTTTTTGCGTCTTCTGGTTGATAGCTGTATTTAGAATTTGAAATGATCGACCTTAGCGCCAAGCGAGTTCTCCTTGACCATTTTTTACGCATTGAAAGTACGATTTCGCGGCCAAAAAGGGTTCCCATTCAACCCGCGGCTTAAACGATCATGCATGTTACATGACGGCAGAAAACTGTGAAGAGGACGAACTTATTGCGTGGCCGGAGCGTCAAATGATGTTAGCCATAAGAATAATACACATACACTGGGTTTTTCTATACACTACTTTCCAAAGGATATAGCTGTACAGCCAAAATGGACGCGTTTCGATGGTCAACATCGGGGAGATTTTACTCTTCAAAGTCGTCGGCCTTATGCTCCGTCTCGGCTTCGAAAACGGCTGTTACAAAGGGTAACCAACCTTAGATAATGATACCGAAAAAAACTGGAGAAGGCGCAAGAACGTATCTTAAAAAAAAACACTGATATATCGTATAACGTTTACATTACGTCGCATCGTAATTCCTTCCATATTCCTGTCCTTTATTGCATTCCACTGTACTGCTACCTTAACTCGCTACAGCTGGAGAAAGGCTCCAAATCTTTACTAAGAATTGCAAATAATATAACTTAAGTCTAAAACGTTTTCAGCCGGGAAAAGTTTCCAAATCTTCACTAAAAATTTCACATAACATAACTTTAAGTCTACAACGTTTTTTGCTCACCCGAGCTCTTGATCAATGACTGATCTGGAGCCCAAAAATTCTCACCCTAACAAGCCTTTTTAAAAAAATATTGTGCATTTTTTTCATCAACTTTAAAACAGAAATCTAGTGCTGATTGTTTCTTTCAACCAAACACCACAAATCGTGTGTATTACTTAGATATTTGTTTCGTCAACATTCTCTACACGAATGTGCACTTGAGCTGATTGTTCGCTCAGAAATTCAGTGGCTTTTGCCTCCAAACATGCGCGATAGCCTTCTCTATGATAAGCAGCAAACATTGCTGGCGTGTAGAATTGATTCGAAGTAGAATGCTGCGGAAATGCTCCACAAATCCCCTCTGAAAAACCCCTACAAGCGTCACCATGACAAGACTCGCAGCAACAGAACGTCAGCCTGTCAACCTCCTTAGCATGAAGCTCTGGTCCAGTTCCCCAATGGCCCTCGTCAAGATTTTCGTTAATGTCACTTAACGCCTCCTTCCACGTCATAGGTTGCGTCATCTTAATTCCCTTATTGGGGTGTCTAGGAGCGATGAAAAGCACCTCTGCCTCACCGACCATGTGGTCGCCGTCCCCTTCTGGATCTTTGTCAAAGTATTGGACTTTGAACCTTAGGACAATAAAATCTTTCCTTTAAATATTGGCAGACTGTCAGACTTGTAAGACGAGGAAGCTTCTTTCCAGATTTAACTGTGGGTTTTATGAATTGCCTAATGCGTTTCTTTAAAGGTGCAAAATTAAGAGTGCGTTTCGATCGTGGGATGTTGGGCAAAACTTAACAGAAGGGCAGTGGAACATTTTGAAAAAGTGTCGGGTGTGGGGGAGGACTTGCCATAAGCTGAGCCAAACGCATATCTTATTCACAAGCTCCAGTCAGAAAAAAGGAAACAATACAAGGAGCCAATTAGAACTCAGATCAAAACGTACAAACTGTTTGAAGCGCGGAAAGAGTCAAGGGACCTGGCCAGTCGCCATTGTTTTTAGTTTTGCATCTGAATGGCCGAAGGAATGGCGCGCACATTCCTTGCCAAGAGCAGAGGGGTGGTAAAACACAGGTCCCAGTCATTGTTAAGTCTCAATGGAAAATCGCTTGAGTACATTTTGCTGATTGGTCCAAAAACTTTTTTCAGCTAACACTAAGTATTTCCAACTAAATTGAAATGAGAGGCTTGCGTGCAGTACCTCACATAAAAGCGGTTAAACAACATTTCAAATTAGTGAGTTTTCGCGCAACATACAACACAGCTGAACCTTAAAAACTAAGTCACAAACCTGTAACTCCTAAGTTGGTTTCCGGGACTTCTCTCCACAAAGTTTATTCGAATGTCTTCATTGATGTCTCGACCATCCATTCCTGTAAATGAACATCTCAGTTTTTTCCTGGCCATTTCGAGCGCGTTCATCAAGGTGTTACAAAACGCTTGTTCTGAAGCCGCACATCCACCATAAACAGAGATGATCCTTTTCAGTCTGAGTCTCAGAAGAGGCAAGATTCCAAGGTTTTCAACATGGCCGCCATCACTCAGACGCAATACAGGAGGAGGACTGGGCCCAAGGTTTAGTATCCCGATTGTTTTCCGAACATAACTGATGTAAGGTATGTGGACAGCAAAATATCTGACAAAAAAAACAGTATGGCTTTTAGTGTAAAATGCTGGCCAATATTGGCTGTTCAACTTATTGGTTAGGGTCAAAGCGCACTAAAAGCAAGTGCATACCTGCGTGCCTTTCGGTCATTAGGGAACTGGAGCATAGACGTCTTTAGACGCGGATGGTACCCAGACGTTGAAAGTTCTTCTTGCTGTCGCTTATTACGAGTAATTTGTCGGAAGAGTTTATTTTAAAATGCTACAACAAAAGATTATAAAATTCTTTTTTTTTTGGTACCAAGGCGCGCCAGCAGTAGACGTTCCCTCCTTTTATTTACCATCCCCATCTTAAATGCCAGGGTTGCGGACATGCATATCACCATGAGCAGGGGCGTTCTTACAATATAGGGAAGGATTTCAAAGAAACGCGCACACACAGGAATAGTAATACCCTCGAATAAATACTCCAAAGGTTGTCCTTCCTCGACGAGAGTGAAACCCTTAGAGGCGAACATTGAATTACTGTTAGTGACGATAAAAAAGGCATATTCAAACCTGGCCATCCTCTCCACCCGGCTGGGATTAGCAGATCCCGTAGGTATCAAGGCGATTACGGTCAACAGCAACAGAAGCAAGAAGAAACAAAATACTCCAAAGGTGAGATAGTCGTCACCGCCAAAATTATGGTAGAAAACGTATGATATCAAAAGTGGAGAGACTCTGAATATCTCGATGAAGTACGGAAGAATCTGAAAAAAAAAAAAACGACGTATCACATTAAACGTTTAATTCTGCTGTCCTAAGAATCAAGGACACTCAAGTATGTGTCAAATATGATATTACCCCACGAAACTTCGCTCATCGGTTATTGATTGTCCTGATTCTTTTTTCGGAAGAACAAAGTTATACCAACCTGAAGGCAAATATTGAGTTTCCTGACATGCCTCGGGTCGCTGACAACAGAGTTACCCATAGCAATTCCCAAGGTGACTTTTAGGTCTTTAAACATCTCTTCACCTTCCAGGGCACCCATGTGATGATCAACAGCAGCAGCTGACGTTGCCATGGCATCGGACAAGTAAATGTCCTCCGGCATAAGCTTGCCTTCTAACTCGCGCTCATGCGCAGGTCGATCCAGTCGTTCAATCCCTTGGGGGGACATGATAAGTGCTTCGTAGTCGGGTTCCGTGGAGGAGGTGGTGCGTCGCCATCGGTTGACCGCTGCATTGCTGATAAAGATAGGCTTGACGTTCTCAAGATCTTCCAAGGTCAGCGGGCGTTCAGGGTCGAGGTTAACACGCTGTTTGTGATCGAAATATGGGCAGCTGAGAAAAAAGTTGCGGAAGGAAATGCCGGCACAACCACACAATCCTCGACTGGTTGGCGTGAACAAGGCTTTTTGTAGCCGCCACCTGCAACTCAAAGAAGATCAAACGGCGTATTCAGATCTAGAGTTACATGCTCAATGGGCCAATTAAGGCCAACGCGATACAGACGCTTACTAAAACGCCCACGTGCCATACCCATGCGCGCGAGATTGTTTACAAGGGCGCACGCAACATGTTATTATTTCATACGTAATAAGCGCTTGCATTGATTAGATGGCGGCACCATTATAAAGGCTAGAGCTCCACCTCATTGAACTTCGTTAATTTCATAATCAACGAGTAAAAGGAACTATCGCTTCTATACAATTCCGCGAAAACGTGAAATGAAAACTTTTTAGGTACTCATAAATTTTGATATAATTATGTTTTAATCTCATGGTACTAGCTAAAGGGGAGAGAAAAGGGAGACATACAATTCACATACCTGTTGTAGACATGACCCAGACGCTGTTGTATCGTTCCTATCAGGGGTGAGATCCATAAGAGTAACCCTGAAGCCCACAACTGCTGAGCAAAGAAGTGGTCCGTGTAAGGATAAAAACTAAAGCTTTTCTTGTACACCCTATACACAATTACGTACGCGTAGAAATACACAATTACGACGAGCGTAGCGTTTTTTCTCATCACAGGAAACGAAAACCAAAGCACCACGGTGGGTAGAATGATCAGAACTCTCATCCAATCAGGTATGAACTCGAGCACGTCATGAAAAAACCAGGGCAGAAACACAAGGCCGAATATGACTCCAAACGAAGTGGTCAGGAAGGAGGAGGCGTTTTTTAATCCAGGTAACATTGGTGCGATGAAGTAAGAAGCAAATGCTAAGACAAGAGGAGCACCAAACAAAAGGAACCTTTCAATAGCTTTCCTCTCCCGTCTCTCTTCGCATTCTGAGACTGTTTCGTTCACCAGTAGCGCTGAGCTGTCACAATGTGTTATGATTCCGCCGCGGATGATATCCCCCGCTAAATAGTCGACAGCGAAAGCTAGAGGGCATGCGTAAGCACTCCACAAAATAAATGGAACAACAAGGGTGACGAAAACTGGAAGACAGAAAAGAACTGTACAATCAAATACTCCATGTATAGGCCGCTGCCAGTCGCAAAAAATCCCACTCCGCTCGCGCAGATGGTTAAAGAATTTGAAATGCCAGTCTTTGCTGTCTTGCTTGTCATGACGGTACTTCCAGTCCATGTAAGCAGAGCCTGTGTAACCTCCCCCTGACACGCAACTCAGATAATCCAAGTTGGTCTCTCGCTGAAGCAGTCTGCGTAAGACTCCAGAGCAGAAGGCCGCTGACCGAACTCCGCCGCCTGAGAATGCTAACCCAGCTTTGGCCATTTTCTATGAAAGATTAAAACAATTTGAATGATACTCAAAATTTAGTTGGGGACTATAGGATTGGACGCTATTCAGTTAAAAAAAAATTCATTAGGGAAAAAAAGCATAAAACCTATGGAAATGCTCCTTAAAGAACCCGGCACCGGGTGCTCTCGCAGTTCTAATTACATGACTTACAAAGATAGTGTATATCTCCTTAATATTTGTTTGTTGATTTTTGATTTCCCACTTTTATCTTCCCTTTCCATCCTGCCATTATTCTCCGCATATTTAGGCGTCTTTTTCTCTATTTTTGTTTCTTTGTTTGTTTGTTTGTTTTTTTTTTCCAGAAAACGCTCTCTCGGTTTAAGGAGAGTCTTAATGGGGCGATGGCTTTTACGGCTAATGGTTAAAATTTTGGCCAATGACGGTTAACACTTTTCCATTGTTTCCACCAGACATATTTTTTACGATTAACTTTTCTTACGACTAACGGTTTAAATTTGTCAGTTTTTACGCCAAAGGGCTAAATTTTTTGGCCGTTTTACGGGTAACGGTTAACCCCACTGAGACCCTATTTAAAGCAGAGCGTTACGGTCCTTCTTAGAGGTCCAAAAGCGGTTAACCGTCAGTCGTAACACGGCCAATAAGTTTACTCGTCAGGCGTAAAAAATTCTCAAATTTTAAGAGCCAATCGTAAAATACGTCAAAGAAACTAGCTGGTAAACATAAAAATAGCCAAAATTTTAACCGATAACCGTAAAAGGCCATTACTTCATTGAAAACCTCTTCTTATATTCTTTATTCAGTTATCGTTTTCCTCTATCTTGGATCTTTGGTCTCACTAATTTACTATTGTTATTATTGTTTTTGTTAGCAATATTATCATTATAATAAGTATTTTTCCTTTTAAAAGCAAAGTCTTAAGTGGTCTTTAACCTGCGCCAGAGGTCCCCGACCTGGCAAAAATTACAGTTTACAGAAATTGAAAAGACTTACAGGAAAGGAAATATGATCATTTTTATTCTCTTCCTGCATGAATATATTGATCGATCAGTCATCCATGAAGTCATTATGCAACTGAGCAAGAGTAAACATGTGAGCCGCTTTGTGTCTGTTTTAATCCGACTGTTGTGAGTTTGCCAAAAAAAACGGTTTTTGTGTGATTAGTGTAAATCATTGATCCATGAAAGGACAGATAATTTATCGATCTTATGTGAAACGACAACTCCAAATTAGATATAGACGCCACGATTGACTTTTTTTTCCTTTCGCTTCGTTTAAGCACTTCCGCACAAAATTATGTTCCACCTATTTCATGATATCTCTCATCCACCATCAAGACAACTGATCGATGTCGTCGATTAATTAGCTTTTGAAGATTTGGACCTTCGAAGCAGAACGGGATTACTTGCCTAATGTCTCTGTCTTAAACGCTAAACATTCTAAATCATGCCACAAGTTTGCTTCGTGTTTACTTACCTAATGGGAAGTTAGTAGATTGACAGCGTGTATTCCGCGTTAAAAGTAACCTCACTTTGTCAGAGAGCTAAATTAATGAGTCGAGCGGCGTCTGAACCAGGCCTAACGAACTTACAAACCACTCGCTTGTGATAAATTAAGTCAACGACGTGAGACAGTAATAAGATACAGGGTCAATTGACCCCCCCACTGTTAGGACAGAAGTTTTTTTTCCAAACCAGGGCCCGGAGAGGCATACAGTAATGTGGACCCTTGGACTATTTTTCGGACCATATTTTTTGGTCCATTGTTTGGACCATTTTTTTTACCTTTTTTGGACCATTTTTTGGGAACAATTTTGGACTGCCAGTGGGAGGCGGGAGAAGGCAGACCATTAGTAGTCAGGGAGGGGTGGGATTCAGTCTACCACTACTGAGGGAGGGGTGGGAGGCGGACTGTTATTACTCAAGGAGGAGTGGGAGACTGTTATGCAGGGAGGGGTGGGAGGTGGTTGTATTAGTAAATACTACTGATTAATTAAGTTTTTACGAAATCATACAAATTATTTTGAGCAGTGGCACGAACAATATCATAACCGAGCGTTCAAATACAAATGTAAGATCTAAGCTTGCGGAATGCTGTAAATTGTTAATTAGAGTGTTGCTGCTGTTGCGCGTCGTCTCAATTAGTGTTTTTTCAACCGGTTAGTCAGCTTCTTTTGTTCTTCTTCTTTTGTTTTCCATATCGCATACTTTCATTCACTATTGTTTCATTCGTAATTATTGGCGTCAAATATACTTTCACTCAGTCGTTTCGCATGCATTAATTTTCAGTTTTTTCCTGCGTATATAAACTAACTTTTCTCTGTTTTGGGGGCCTTTCTTTTTTTCTTTGTAGTCGCGCTAGTCGCAGTTCGCTTTCGAGCAGTACCAACGTTATTCATTTCGTCCTCGTGTGCAGTTTTGTAGTAATCGTAGTAATCATAACAATGTAAGTATCGTCGTTTCAAGTTGGCTGGATTTCTCTCCTATCACCTTTACTTAATCAATTGTTTTCATTTTGTATTTTTTAGTTTCAACCCACATCGTTCACCCACACCAATAAATTGGTTTTTTTTATCAATTTAATCTTGGTGTTGGAAGGTTACGGTTACTGCATTCGCAACAAATACCTTAAAATTACTCAATTTGGAGCAAACTTGATCAGATCCTCCATCGCTATGGACTACTAACTTGCGAGTATTTTCAAAAATCTTTTTATTCAAGGAGCAAATGGTTAAAAAATTATTATTTTGATCAAACCATTCCTCTCCGTGTTGAGAGCAAAATTAGCATAAAATGCCGTTTGACCGCTCACGCCATCGTTCAAAGCAGATTAAGCAGATAACTTGGCCCTCCACTGTTAGGACAAAGTTTGTTCCCAAACCTGGGCCCAGGTAGACTTGATTGTCGCAGCTCTCTTGGATCTGTTCTCGTGCGTTGGCTTCGTGCAGCGGCTGCAGCTGGTTATCGAGTCAATAATACGTCATCCGGGTTGAATAATTATGATTTAATCATAGGATAATTCTTTTAAGGGAATTATTGACCGCGACAAAGAAGACACGAGGTAGGTAATACTTGTGCGTTCACCAGATAGTTCCAGATACCAAGGTTGTTTTTATTTCCATTTTATCCGCATCGCATGAATGAACGAGAATATCACTCAGTTGACAGATCTCTATTTGCATCCTTGGCAAGTAAAACTCAATAGGGTGTGTAAAAGTCACCCCACTATTGCACGTTTCGCCAACAGACACAAGCAGGAAAGGATGGTCTTTTTTTTATAAGGTAAAAGCTTTTACATTTCGATTATTTTGCTTTGTCTGCAATCTTCTCCAATTTCCGCTCGAACAACTATTAAGGCCTGTGACTCAACTGAATTTACAGCTTCATGGACAATATCATCACAAAACATTCAAATACAGAAACCCACTTTGGAGCAAATCTGAAGAGATCCTCCATCGCTTTTTCGAAAATCTTTACATTTAAGAAGCAAATGGTTAGAAAGTAATTATTTTGATCAAATCGTTCCTCTCCGTGATAGGAGCAAAATTTGCATAAATTCCTATTTGACTGCAAACGTCACCCTTCAAAGCAGATAAATAAAATATTGTTCATCATTCGTGAGCTTGACAATTTCTTAGAATTATTTATAGTACACTACTTGCAAATTAAAGTAATAACATTATCAACATAGCTTACATTATGTGGAGAAATTACAAAACTAGTTTAATTACCCTAACCAAGTTTTGATGATCGAAGTAATGACATAACATGAGTTTTATTTCTCTCAGTTCATGGTGATATATGTTTTAGTTATGTCAATTCGTATGTTATTTGTAATGCTTTTTTTCTTTTGTTTTGTCCTTTTGTTTTTTTTTTTTTATTATACCCCAATATCATGTACACGGACGGAGCAGCATTTAATGTTGTTGTCTCTGTCGCTCGCAACTCTGTACTCTCAGCCGTGAAACTGTGTAAATACATTTAACTTTTTTTCACAAAATCCTTGAAACTATGTAAATACATTGTGACGTATAATTTTCTTTCGTTTGTTTTTCTCGTTTCTTTTATTTCGTAGTATACCTCAATATCATACACACGACTGGAGCAGCATCTAATGTTGTTCTCCCATCCGCTCACAACGGTGATCATAAAACTATGTAAATACATATAAATTTTTGCCACAAATTCAATGTAACATCTAGCTAAGAGGCGATGATTGAGAAGATGATCCTATCACGGATATGGTGTTACATGACTTAGAGATGAAATTCTAAAATTTTCATTCCAATTAACAAGAGCAAAGTAAAGCTGCATTCTGGTATGAATTTTGGCTCACCATGACGACTACAAGAGGAAATCTCGAAGGCCCCGAAGCAGTTCATTTCAACGCTCGGTTGAAATGAAACGCGCGAGAGGTTACGCGCGCAAGTATAAGGAGCTTGCGTGACTGCCTTATCACGTAGTGCCATAGGCTTAATAGTGATTGCATTTAATATAGAAAAGAGACAAGAGAAGGTAGCCATAATGAAGGTTTCTTACTCATAGTTAACCTCTATTTCTTTCCGCAGACGAAACGCAGATAGGTATAAGTTTTTTTTTTTTAAATTTTGCTGTTTTCTTCCATTGAAAATAGTGCAATTCCCGATATCACCATGGCAAAGTTTGGGTTATCGTTCTCTGGAGGCGGAGTCCGGTCAGCGGCATTCTGTTCAGGAGTGTTGCGCAGACTGCTGCAGAAGGAGGTGCGAATAGACTACCTGAGTTGCGTGTCTGGGGGCGGTTACACAGGCTCTGCTTACGTCGACTGGAAATACAGGCATGATAAGAAAGATGACAAGAAATGGCATCAGAATTTCTTTAATCACATGAGGGAAAATGTCGGCTTAGTTTGCAGTTTTCAAAATCCCTGCCAAGGTATTTTCGACTGCGTGATCTTTTGTGCTCTAGCATTATTCATCTCTGTCATCGCGCCTTTCATAATTTGGGGATCATTCGCACATCCACTGGCCTATATTATCGATTACCTCTTTGGCAGAATTTTGAGGGGTGGCAGTCGTCCGTGTCCAGAAGAGGTCAGGTTGAATCTAAACACAACCCTCAACGATTGCCTGCAGAATCGTAAGAATGCGGACAAAATTTACGATCGCGTTCTACTCTTCTTCGTGCCTGCTCTCCTCGCTTTCATATTCTACGTCTTGAAAAGATGCGTCAAAAGAGGAGAAGGTCATTTCAATTGGCTTTCGCTCTTCAGTTTAATGATGTTTGGAATTCTGTTTTTTCCCTGGTTTTTAAACATTTCCCTGCGACTTGTACCAGACTTTTTGAAAGGGTTGCTCCTTGTGCCAATGATCTTTTTTTGGTTTTTATTTCCTCGCCTGCGTGACAATGCATCACTGGTATTCGTCGTGTATCTCTACTCGTTTGTCATCCACTTCAGAGTGTATCGTATAAATGCCTTTGGCATCCTCTACGATGATCGCATCTTTGATCAAGCATTTGCAGCATCTATACTTCTAATGTGGGTTGCCCCTTTGGTTATAGCGATACAACAAAGCATTGTTCATATTTATGTCAGGTGAGGATAAGTGAGCTTAATTTTTCAATGCTGTTCGTATCTCTACTGTCACGGGGTTGTGTGCGCGGTTAATTCAAACAGTGAGGAAGCGATGGAAAAGCAGTTACGGTTGTCCTTTGTTTGGAAAAAATTATTACCATAGTGCAAACATCACGTTACTTACAACCGGATGTAAAAAAGATTGGTTTTGAAGTTTAATTGAGCCTGAAAATTTCAATGTTCCGCATTCAATAACAGCTTTTGTTTTATCAACTACATCTTTCTGCAGATGGATCATCCAAAAGGCATTTTATCATCCAAACACCATTGGCAAATGCGGTTGTAGTGGCATATCGTGGCGTAACCTTTTCCTTTTCTGTCCAGCCCTCGACGAATCCCGGATGATCCAAAACATACCTCATAAAAAGGCTTTGACTTTGGATGATTTGGATGACCTTACACCCACCTACATCGGGTGCACCACTGTTAATAGATGGAAACGCACCCCTTCCCCCAGAGAACCTCATTATGAGCTTCTCACCATGTCCCCTCACGGTATTGAACGACTTGATCGTCCTGGTGATGAGCAGGGACTTCATGGTAAGCTGATGCCCGTCGATGTTTACCTGTCTGAGGTAGCGGCAAATTCTGCAGCTGCGGTCAACTATGACTCAGGATTAGCGCAAGGTGATGAGGCGCCATTTAGAAACTTTCTGGTCATGATTGGACTCTCCTTCGGTGCATCTCTTGTAGCTGATAAGAGGCACGAGAAGAGACGTCATATCTGCTTACAGGTAATTATGTTAACCGCGTAAATTGGCGTGCATTGCATGAAATTTGAAGCCTCCTCATTGATCGAGCTATACAACGATCGATGACTTACTGACTGACTGACTGCCTGACTGTCTGACTCACTGGCTGACTGTTTGACTGGCTTACAGTTGAACGATGACTGACTGACTGACTGACTTACTGATTTAACATTCTGACGACTGATCGACTGAAGATTAAAAAATTTAGAAATGGATTAACGAAAGGGTCAATTTGAATAGTTTCTTTCATTCATGTTCACTCTAGAGTCTTCCTATTGTAATAGAACTCCTCCGAGTCGTTCCTTTGGTGTTCACTCTTGTCCTCTATGCGAAGAATGACGGTGAAAAATTTTTGGTAGCAGGATTGCTGATACACATTGGTGTTACCGCATTAATAACCTTGTTAGGGTTAGTGCCAACTGGAGCAAAAAATCCTGGAAGATTGGAACGACTTGCCAGGTAATGGTTTGCTTACATGTCAAGCGGAGACTATGCACGCGTAACGCTTTAGCGGAGTCCCATACCAAGGGCACTCTGGTTTGATTTCTTCATCATCATCAGTAGGGGAGAAAAAGTGACCCACTGATTAGCATCCTCTAGTCCATAACCACAATGGAATGTATTATACCTGATGTTTAACCTATTTGTGGATATATCACCTTTTCTTGAATTCAAGGGACGTATCAGGTCATTTTCCCGTGGTGGTGTATCAAACTATAGGGACAGTTACCATTGGCGGAAATTGTGCACCCTGATAGGTGCTAAGATTAGGGGAAACGGGGACGCGATATTTGAGAGTTAACGGGAAGCGTGAGCCACGCAGGTTCAATAGATCGTTTTCATATGACGTGTCACTGAGGCCATCGTGGTAACCAAAACATAAAATTATCCACCATGTTGGTGTAGGGGTAGTCGTGTGGGATTTGAACCATTTTAAGTATACAGTAAACATTTCCTTTGTTCCAGTTAATTTACATCGCTGCTCACTACGTGATTAAAAGTGTCCTTTATAGTGGAAATCCAAAATGGTGGGTCTCTGGTTTAAAACGATGAACGCAATTCAAGGTTCCTCGCTCGTAATTTCATTTTATGAAAAAAAAATCAAATAACTTTTTCTCGACAGATGGTTGACAATCAATACCCTTGGTGGTCACTATCATCGTAAAGCGATGAATGTCATAAATGTTGGACCCAGCCCGCCGGCTGTTTTGTCCCTAAGTGATGGCGGCCATCTTGAGAATCTTGGCATTCTCCCCTTACTGAAGCTGAGGCTTAAAAAGATCGTGGCAGTAGATGGAGGAAACACTATTCTGGATCAAGACTACGCGGACGCCCTATTAACTGCTCTGGATATGGCTAGGAAAAAGTTAGGCTGTTCATTTTCAGCCCTGGATGGACGAGATATCGCTGAGGATATTCGGGATAACTTCGTTGAGAGGAGCCCTGGGTCACAGCCAAGCAGCTACAGGTACTTGATGTAAAACTTGATGGATAAGCACTCTTTTTTGTTTGTTTCTTTTCAAGGTAATCTTTGAAAATATATTTGTTTAAGTTTCAAATAGTCAATTTTTTCATCCATTTTAGAGCGAATGGATTTTGGGAATGGCTGATTTTTAATTTCGGGTGTAATCTTAATATAGCAAAAAAATTAAACATGTACCTCTTAATAATTACATTTATATAGCGCAGACCTCTATATGGATATATTCAGTGGTGCTTCACAATATTGTCAAAGTAAAATTACGTAAAAAGCATGTTTCCTCTTACATGGTTTACAGGATTGTTTTTCTCTTGTGCTTACAGATTCAAAGTTTATTATTATGAAAAGAATGTTAACTGCGACGGAAAGACCAAAGTTGGCGAAGGAGAAATTCTCTATATAGCTCCCAGGCATCCAGGCAAAAGGGTGAAAACCTCGCCTTACGTTACATGGGAGCAAGCGTTGCGTGACATCGACGAAGATCTCGAGGCAGGCCTTTGGGGCGCTGGACCTCAGTTATCATCAGAAGAGGCCGATAGATTAACATTCTGTTGTTGTGAATGTTGCCATGGAAACACGTGTCGTGGCTTGTCCGAAGCTATGTGTGGGGTTTTTCCACAACATAGTACTGCTAATCAGTTGTTCACGCCGACACAGTTCTCCGCCTATCACAGGGAGGGATATCGCGCTAGCATGGAGGCTAAAGTAGCTCAGTTTGCGTCCGATCGAAAGGAAGTTACCTCCGCCCCAGGAACTAACATCGTTTAAGTAAAAGTAAACACCGTGGAACTTCTCTGTGATTAAAGATGGATAAATAAAATAATGAATGGTACGTTCTGGGCTCGTTTGTCTATCAAAGAAAGGGATTTGTCTTTCGCATGAAACAAATAAACAAATTGGAGTACCCCACGAGAAATTGAACCTCATAGCCTCTGATTTCGCAGTCTATTGCTCTACAAGTGAGCTCAGAAAAACCGTCACGGTGAGTCAGCTCATATATCAAGATTAACATACTGCATACTGCATACGGTCAGGATCAGCAATGTTCAAATATATTGTCGTTTTTTTCTTTAAGGGTTGAATATTGATTCAATTCAAAGATGTCAAAAAAATTCCAATATCTGAATATGCCTCATATATCTCATGGATAATTACATTTAACAACTGTTAATGTTTCTAGTACGAAAAAAATCATTTTTGTATCACTAAACCCAGTGATGAGTGTTCAGTAGCTTTCTTTGCATGCCTTGCGTGTCTATGCTGTTGTCTATTGCAGACTACGCTGTAAAGATTGATGCCTAGTCAGGGAATTTCTTAGCTGCTTGTTAAATGATCGTTCCAAAAACGCAAGCTTGTTATTAATTGCCCAAAAATAAGACCCTTTTACTCAAGAAATACTCTACAGTTCAACACAGGATCAGTGATTTGCGCACTTCAGTGACGTTGACATCCGAATTCCGGTCGGTATTGAAATACGCGATTGTTGAATATAAATCAGTACATATCAGCTAAATTCCGTTGAGTAAATGCCAAAATTCAATAAGGTTCAGTATAGGAGCATCGAATCCACTCCAAGGTTGGGAAATGGTCATTTCTTTCAAACGAATAATTAAAAAAATTGAAGATCATACATGACGAGGCCGCTATAGCGAAGAATATTAAATGCATGTGCTGTTTTGGCTGACCAAACAAGCTTATTTTCTTTAGTTAAACCATTTGAGTGATTGCAATTCTGTATTGTGTCGGTTTCTGATTTACACCGTTGGGATAATCAGTTTGAACTAACTCTACGTCGATTCTTGATTGCTATGTACATTTTTTGTAATCAGTTTACAAGGAGAATATCATTTGTTTTCAACACCAAAAATAAGAGCTGATTTAAGATCTTGAAAATTAACAATGAACATTTTTCTCAAGCTTTCTTCAGAATTTCGGGAATGTTGCAGTAGTCAAATATACATCTGCTGTGACGGAAATTAAACGATGTTGTCAATGCGAAATTCACAGCTATGACCTTTTAATTATTGCGTGTCCTAATCGAACAGCACGGTTGTCACGATTGTCATCACCTCCGGTTCGATGTTTGCTTACTAATTCAAGCGTAAAGTAATACGCTCGCTAAAGGTCACTGAAGTGAATCAAGCAACCTTTTCATAGTGGTCGGCGTGCTTTCTATGGTGAGGACATTGATTTGCAGGAGAGGTGAGGTTACAGGTTGTTTGATCTCTAGACATACGGCTTCTTTCAAGCAAACGATTTCAGTTTTGTTTTCACGCAAGACAAGCTACTACAGCTCACTGATCCAAATTATGCGGTAATGAACACTTATTTGCCGCTCAGAATTCTCTGACAAGTTTGAATGGATTTCGATTTACAAGGACTTAAGTAAAGAAAAATTGAGATCATCGTTTGCTCTCGGTGCTTTGAAACAATCGAAAGCGAGCTGTTAACCTCAGTATTCGATAGAGAGCAAGGACTACATCTGCATCTGTGAATATTTTAAGGTGCATTCCTTACAAAATAATTTTATTGCAGCTCAGCGATCGCATCGAAAATTAATTATTATCTCACCGCGTTGTTGCCCTTTTATATTAACTGAGAACAATAAATTTTGAATAATTTCGTGGTGAAAATTCCTTTACAACTCAGTGAAAAACAGCAGAGTTGATTGAGATTTGATGGATGATAAACTGCACGCTCTGAAAATTCTTTGCGTAGTAACTATGACCACGTATTTGGTAGAAACCAGCGCCCCTTTCTCCAGGTATTGATCTGCTTCTATTGAAATATTTTAAACATATGCTTCGTACGACTCAATTAACTAAATTACATGTAAATAATTCTAATACGAAAGTGTGTTATGAAATGTGTTGTCATGCACGAATTTAGACTGAAAACGTACTTTCATTCCTATTTTTAAGTATAGTTTCCATTTGCCCTCTTATTGACATATTTTCTTGTTCAGTGTTACTTTCTTGATAAACATCGATCTGACGCTTTTAGTGGAAACTTATCCCACAGCTGATACTTCTGCATAGGTGGTTTCTTTTTATGCTTCGAATATGCTTTATTTTACATGATTAGAAGAACTAAGAGAAGGGGGCTGAGGATTTTGGTTGTACTAAATAAAATTAACCTTTAATTGACTCATCCCCTGACTCTGTAATATTCCCATGACCCCCCTCCCCTCATTGGCGTTTAATTGACGGTCAATTTTCCATAGTCCCCCATCTATACTCTGTTGGCGACGAGAGCTGACCCCCCCCTCCGTTTACCCCCGAAAACCAATCCCCCAAGTATCCATCACCCCCCTCCCCCCCCCCTTCCCTCACAGTGATAAATGATGCCTGGTTCCTGAGTTTTTTTCTATCTCCTTCCAGTTTGTAGGAAATACCTTAGATAAGTCCGATATCCTCCTCCATAATTGAAGAATGGCGAGAATTGGAGTTGCTTTTTCCGGTGGTGGTATTCGGTCAGCGTCATTATGCTCGGGTGTCCTGCGCAGACTGCTGCAGAAGAAGGTTAACATAGATTACCTAAGCTGTGTCTCAGGGGGTGGTTACACAGGCACTGCATACCTTGACTGGAAATACCGACATGGAAAGAAGGACGACCCCGAGTGGCACAAACAGTTCTTCGAGAACATGCGCAATAGAAGTGGCATCTTTTGCAACTGGAAGAAACCCTGCCAAGGAATCTTGGATTCCATTATCTTGTCCACCATGGTGATATTTGTGGCTTTTATTATTCCAATTCTCCTGTGGACCTCCTACGCATGCCCACTAGCCTTTGTAGTTGATTTCCTGTTTGGACGTATTCTGAGAGGAGGAAGCAAGCCATGCAAAAAACTCGCCAAGCGCGATCCTAAAATATCATTGAAGGAATGCGAACTTGAACGCCATGCATCTCCAGAGGTGGTAAATCAGCAATTTATCCTTTTTGCAGTTCCTGTGGCGGTTGCCATTGTTTGTGGAGTAGTAAGAGGTATGATCCCAAAAGGAAAAGGATTCTTCAATTTCCTCATCATGTCATGTGTCGTGTTCTTCGGCCTGGTGTTCATTCCGTGGTTCATCGACAATTTTCTGGCTTATATTCCAAATTGGATGAAGATCCTCATCATTTTGCCGACTTTTATTGTGTGGTCTTCGTTCCCGCTCATGCGCAAAAATGCCACGCTGATGTTGGTAATTTATTTCTACTCTTTCGTAATTTACTGGAGGGTATTCAATGGAAGAGTGTTGGAGACAGAGTACGATGATGAAATATTTTTTATGCTGCTGGCGATTTCAACCCTCTTTCTATGGAGTGCGCCGATTATTGGTACAGTACAGCAACGTATAGGTCACGTGTACAACAGGTAAGGTTAATTTTGCATATGAACCAGACATGAATTTCCTGGTTTTATCAGCACTAACGCTTTGAATCCTAAGAGTGACTAGCATCTAATTTCTCCGCACAATATCAACCCAACAAGATAAAGGAAATGATCACCAACTTAAGAAGCTCTTGATGGTTAAAAAAATTATCCTTTTCAGCACCTGAAGATTTTTGTAGATAACACTATGGAGGACATGCATATTAATGTTAGGGTATAAAGGTCAAGCGACTAGGAGTAGTGCTACTTTTCCCGGTTCACAAATGAAGTTAGAGTGGCTTGGCTCAGTGTAGAGTCTCTGTGGCTCAGTGTAGAGTCTCTGTGGCTCAGTGTAGAGTCTCTGTGGCTCAGTGTAGAGTCTCTGTGGCTCAGTGTAGAGTCTCTGTGGCTCAGTGTAGAGTCTCTGTGGCTCAGTGGTAGAGCATCTGAGCCGGAATTTGAAGGTCTGAGGTTCGATTCGTTTTTTTGGTTTTGTTTTTTATTTTTCCTACGCTCATGACAAGACTTCTTCCATTGAGGAGGACTAACAAGGTTTATAGAGGCTTATGGCTATTCAAGCCGGGAGAAAGCCTATCTACCACTAACAAGCCTATGGGCTAACCTTCAGTTCTAAGCTTCAGTTCTAAACTTCAGCATCCCCCCACCAGGCAACCCACGGCGTTTGACTCTCCTCCGTGTTCTTTCTACATAAAAATTGACCATTAAATCCGGAACTTGGACGGGGCATTTGAACAAAAGTTTGGCCCCGGGGGACGGGAATTTAAGCGAACCAATCTCTAAAAGTTCAAATGCCCGAGGCGTTGCCCGGGGGATAATAAAGCTTCGGATTTATTAACGTATAACTGACTTGCAGATGGCGCATTCAAAGAGCACTCTACACATCAGCAAGCGTCGGTTGCTGTGGTTGTGCTGGGATCTCATGGCGTGACCTTTTTCTTCGCTGTCCGAAGTGTCCACGCTCCAGGCCACGAGGAATAAATATTTCCACAGCTTTGACACTAGAGGACCTTGATGATGTGAAGCCAATTTACATAAGCGGTATCACCATAAACAAATGGAGACGGACTAACTCCCCCAAGGAGCCAGATTATGAACTATTGATGATGACACCTCATGGGATTGAACGACTTGATCGGCCACCCAATGAACGTGAGTTTGATGGTAAACTTATGCCTGTGGACATTTACCTGTCAGATGCCATGGCAACGTCAGCTGCTGCCGTGGATCATCATATGGGAGCGAGGGAGAGTGATGACGCGTCCTTTAGAGATTTAAAGGTTATTCTTGGAGTTTCCATGGGAACGGCCATTGTTTCAGACGAGCGACACGAAGGAAAAAGAAATTGTTGTATTCAGGTGAGGACACCCTCTCTCTCTCGTTAAATCGTTAGCTATGATCGTCGGGCCGCAATGTTTAATGATATACGGATTGAAATTTTGCCTTAACCCTTTAACTCCCAAGATACCATTAGTAATTCTCATTATTGTCTGACATGCAATTTGTATGATGTCAATTTGGAGAATTTGGTATTAGATCAACTAATAATCCCCTAGCAAATATTTTACTTTTTTCTCATCACTTCTATGCTTGATATTGTATTGTTATTGTAAGGAGAAACTCTCTCTTGATCACTCATGGGCGGTAAAGGGTTAAAGAAACGAGTTAATTTAAGTCCTGTAATTGAGCCTATTGATCCTGACCCAGTCTGAGCTTATTCAGGTTTCTCTGTAGCATGAGGCGATTAGGATTATACCACTCCCCCCTGGATGGAATGCTAGTCCATCGCAAGGTTACCCCCCAGCATTTCATTGAACCCATTTATACTTGGGCAGAGAGAGGCACTGTGTGAGTGAAGTCTTTCTGTCTAAGAGCACAACACATTGACCTGGCCCGGTCTTGAACCCAGACCTCTCGACCTGGAGTCCAGTGCAATGATCAGTAGACCACTGCGTGTCCCGCTTAAAGGAACAAGGATTCACACAATTTATTTTGTATTCATTCAGATTCATTTTACTCTTTAAATTCTTACCACCAGAAACAACAATATCTAACTGTTTTTAGTTTGGCTTGCTTTCAGTTCTTGCCTCTCCTTGTTGAGGTAATCCGGATCCTTCCTTTGGTGCTGTGTCTCATTATATTTTGGCACACTGACCAGCGACGTTACTTAGCCTACGGCATACTGAGTTTCTTTGCTATACTTGTGTTGCTCACATTGACTGCGCTCGTACCAACCGGCGGAAGTAAGCCTGGAAGGCTTGAGAGAATCGCCAGGTAAGTTTGCTGTTCACTGAAGTCATCCATTCGGAATGGAAAAGTGATACGCTGCAGCCATAGACTTCGACCTGGGGCCACGGTGATTGTGACGCTAGTTCTATTAAAAAGAGAAAAAAATTATGAAAAAAAAAAAAACCGAGAATGAAACAGTTACCATAGTGTGGTCATTTGCCTCAAATATTGCTTGATTGCTCAAATCTGGACAGGGATTTATACTTAACCGTAGGATTTGGAACGCAATAAGCAGAAGTGAAAAACACGATTTGTTACCGCAGTGCGCTCTCTCCTTTTGCATTTAAACTGTTTTATGCACAAAATTATTAAATTTTCTACATCGTGACATGCGTTTATTTGCGAACCGTTCCACTCTAGAGTGCGCTTTGCAGCTTGACCAAAATGAAAGAAGTTACAGGAAAAGATGGCTGGAAAGTTTAGGCTGAGTCTGACGTGCCTCTCCCAAGTATAAATTTAGTGCTACTGCGAGTTGAACAAGGAGGCCACATGTTAAACTTAACAAGTTTAATATGCGGCTTTTTTTTTTTTTCCTTTTTTTTTTTCAAATTTTGGGTTTGGTGGTTGATTTTCTCCTCAGACTCTTTAAAATCTTAAAACTATGCTCAGAGGATAAAGAAGCATACTTTCCTTTTCATCAAATCGTAGATGGTTCACAATCAACATCGCTTACGTCAGCTTCGTCCGCAAAACCATCGGTATGATCAATCAAGGTCCCAATCCCCCGCCGGTTCTGCGTTTGAGTGACGGAGGTCATATTGAGAATCTTGGTATTCTACCTTTGTTGAAGTTGAGGCTGAAAAGAATTGTCTCTGTCAATGGCGGCCGCACCATTTCTGACGGGGACTATGGATCGACTTTGCTGGCGGGTCTGGATATGGCCAGGAAAAAGTTGGGTTGTTCTTTTTCTGCCATGGATGGGCGAGACATTGCAGAGGATATCCGTGATAACTTTGTAGAGAAACCCCCAGGTTCACAACCATCCAGCTACAGGTTAGGAAGGAATAGAGAATTCTATGTTAGATATATTATTGTTGGATGTATTCTGATGTCTCATGTTTTATCACAAATACATAAAACCAGTGTTGGCACAGAAAGAAGGGTGGGAATTAAGAATCTCTTCCTTTCCTTTTATTTTCTTTTCATGAGGGAAAGGCCGTGTAATCGTGTTGTTTGTGTAGATGCAAATAATAATAGTTTTCCAAACAAATAATTTGTTTGTCCCACTTCCTCCCCCCCTCTCTCTCTTTATGTGTAAAGAGTAGGATGTGTAAACAAAAAGATAGAATCAAACTGCAAACAAACTGCCCCCCTTCCCCCCCCCTCCCCACCTCACGCTGGGAGTACGTAAGTAATGTTAGTCTATCGAAGGTTACCCCAGAATCTTCCTGGTATTACACGTGTGTACCCTTTCTCCTGGGTGGAGAGTGGCACTGTGAGAGTGAACCTTATTTTCCAGGTCAGCTAGTGTGCAAGTCATAAGCCAACAGCGTCTCTTACAAAGTGGTACTAAGGATGGTTAATAATTATTACTAATAGTAATCCTGTTACTCAGGTTCAAAGTCCATTACTATGACACCGATCCAAATGGCGACGGCAAAACCAAAGTTGGCGAAGGTGAAATTTTGTTCATTGCGCCTAGACACCCAAATAAAACCGCACAAAAGAAGACTTTTGATTCCTGGGGAGAGGTTTTGCGTGACATTGATGTTGATCTCGAGGCTGGCCACTGGGGACCTGGGCCGGAGCTATCGGCGGAAGAGGTGGACCGTTTGACCTTCTGTTGCTGCGAATGTTGCCATGGTAACACGTGCCGAGGATTGTCAGAGTGGATGTGTGGGGCGTTTCCACAGCATTCCACTGGGAATCAGTTCTTCACACAAGCCATGTTTACCAGCTATCACAGGGAAGGCTATCGCGCATGCATGGAGGCAGAAGCTGCTGAATTCCTCCTTGAAGGCCAACGACCGGAGTCTGCAGCCACTGCATTTTCTTCGATATAAACGGAAAAACGGCTTTGTCTCCGCGCTCTTGAAGTTACCCTTAACAGCCAGGCGAAGGCAGTGTGGTGTCAAATTGATAGACATATATAAAGTATAAGTTATTAACATTTCGTTATCGTTTTTGTGTCCCATTATATTTAGACGTATAGTTTTTGGATTTAAATGTAAAGTTTAATCCAACATTTTCTATCAGCATATTAGATCATGCAATATTAGTGAGGTGTGCGTTCTGATAGGTGGAGTGATATATCATTTCTTATAATAATCACGCGGCACAAGGTGATTACAATACTGACGATTAATTGGTAGAATGTTTTGATTCATATGTAAAATACTCGTGATAGAGATGCAAAATGATATACCATATCTCAACTAAGGAACCATGACGAAGAAAAACATCATAACAGTCAAACTGTCAAAAAGGTTTCTTTCTATATCTCATTATTCGTTGAAAGTGAAATATTCAACCAATCAGAGCTGTTGATATCTCCTGCAGTGAATCAATCACTAAAACACAAAAAAATATATTGAAAGCAAGATTAACATTGTAATCATATATTATGAAATACCAGAATCTTTTTTTCTGATGTTTTGAAGGCCTTTCTTACTTTCTTCCATCTTTAACCATTAAAAGCAGCCAAATGAAAAACAGTGCTTTCTGCTCTGCTTGCGGGCCATATTTAAGGCTCTAATACGTACGGTCACGTGGTATGACGTCACTCCTGAAACAGTTCCCTAGACTTAGCTCTGAAAAAATCGGTCCTTAATACAATTACAACCACACCGAACGCAACAAAGAAGAGGCGCTTAAAGGAGTCATACGCTTGAGAGAGCTAGAGTTTTCTAGATTATTCCGTACCAAAGCTCTGACAAAGATCGATTGTCCTCAGTGCCGTTCGTTTTCAAAGCTATTCCTGAAGGTTCCCGTCGCTCTGACGAAGGGCTAACGCTTGAAACTTCAGCTTTTCAACTCTTTACGATGGCAAATTTACGTTATCAACTCAGTTGATAATGCTAAATTACCCTGATTTACTCTCCCACCGACGTAGCACCACAGTTTCTTTAGAAAGTTAACCTCTTTCTTCCTGAAGGTGTCGTCTAACGTGCAGCTAGTAATTCCGGAGCCCAGTCAGTGCCATCTCATATTTCTCGATAACTTTATTTTTCCCCACCTCATTTTTTCCCGCCGCGACTTTTTCCGTGCAGGGAAAAATCGCACTGACTTTAATTTTCGCTGTGGCTAAATGCCCAGCAGCTGGGCACGGACTCAAATAGACTAAATGCCCAGTCAGAAATTTTTATAGAATTTCAACTGAAAGGTTCTTTCAAACTTCTTAAGATTATCAGATGTTTGTTTAGAAAAGTCAAGATAATCCAAAAACTACTTTCTTTGTTTTAGTGAACAAATTACCCGAGCTTGAGCATGCAACCTTATAATAGGGCTCAATTTCCGTCACGTAGAAATTCTACGCTTCTGATCAGACTGCTAAGCACGGTCTCGAATAGACTAAATTCCCGACATTTTTGTAAAAATTTCCAACGGCCGGTTGGGGCAGATTTTCAGGAGTTTACTGATTATGTAAGTCGATCATACAACCGCGCGATTATCAACCCCTACCCAAGAAATAATATTTATCATCTACCGAATATTTTCGTGCGGTTTATTAGACCGCTTCACCCATGATTCTCTAGTAAATACTGAGGAATATTCGGAAATGCAGTAACTGTACAAAGGTATAAAATGCAATTCATGATGTTCGACCCGTGACAAAATATACATAACACGAGCCTTTCACTATTACTAGATACTTTCAATTCCCAAAACATTTGACCAAGAGATACCGTCAAAGCATTTTAATTCTCAGGCTCAGGAAAATTTCAAGAGTTAAACTTAGATTTCTAAAAGAAAGATGATAAATCGTAACATGTTCTTGCTACGGCCTACATCAAATTCCATATTTTTATTTCAAACAGAAAAGTGTTCTCGTTAGTGACTGGGAAGCCACGCCTGCAACACAGATGGCCACCTAAAACGAGTGGATCATTTGCCTTCAAAATACAAAGATTAGACTATGTTTGGAATAAGAGTTATCACTGTTGTGATCTTAGAAGCGGGAATTCATTCAAGTTGTTTGCTAACAGCATGTTTACATTTTCGTAACAGGTTTAATTCCCAGAATGTAAAACGCAGTTTCCATGACGCGCGCGGTGGCCTCGAGAAGAAGCAGGCGTCCCATGTCCACCTTGATTACCTCCCCTGTTTTCCGGTCCTTTTCCACGCAGTAGCAGTTGTCGTAGAACTCTGTAAGAGTGGTGGCCATTTCGTACATGAATTCGCACAGCGTATGCATCATTAAGTCGTCTAGAACGCGGCTAAGGATCTCGGGAAAGCGAATGATACACTTGCCCAGTTTCCACTCTTTCGGATGGTCCAGAGAAATCTCTGTGGTGTTTAAACAAGACTCCAGACTCTTGCGGTCAATATTGGCCGTGCGCATGATGGATCTGGAAACAAAACAAAAACACAATGGTTGAGAGACACTCAAAACAAAGACGACAGCCAACAAAAAACGTGCAATGGTCAGGAATTTTAAAACTGAGCCACATAAAAACCTTGAATTTGAAAAGCAATTTGTTAAGATAACGGTAACTATGAACACTACACACTATTTGAATACTTTGGCCCTTCATATCAGTATGCATATTCTCCATACTGTTCTCTATACATCTAAGATGCTGCTGACAAGGAGAATTTGTTTAACAATCAAGAACTTCTTCAGTTGGTGATCATTTTCTTTATTCTTCTGACCTTGATGTATAATTCGCGGGTTACATTGTAAGGAGAATTTAGATGCTCGTCACTCCTGGGGGTGAAAGGCTTAAAAACTTTCCAAGTTATTCATTTGCAATCAGTGTTAATTGTCTCTATACTAGATCACCCTTAACCTTTTTGTATTATATTTCTAATAAATTTTTCTCTAACTTATCAAACTAATATTTTGTGGCTTCCTTCACTTCCACGGTAATTTATTACGACCCAGAAAACGAATCAAATTTGCCGAAAAGCAGATCCGACCGAAACGAGTTCTTCATATTGCTAGGATCGACAGTGTCGAAACCGATGGGCGAAAGTTAGTCCAAAAAGAACCATTCTGAGACGAATACCATATGAACGCAGTGTTAATAATTTTGTACACTAGTACCTAACTGTGACAAAGATGACTTTTACCTTATCCGAGTGTACGCGTAAAGAAGATAAACTGCTGTGTTTCCTTTGTCGTCCAACATCTGATGGGAGCAAAAATGTCGATGAGACTCTCACATAAAGCGAAGCGTTTAGGATTATTGTTCCCATCCTTTGCTCCCTAGATGAAAGGTCACTCTCACATATAAATTCTTTCCAACCGCGGTGGCGACCAAGACAACCGCAGGTTGAAGCGCGACCATTAAATTCAAGAACTTGAAACGGTCTAAAAAACATCCTTCCTCCTCTCAAAACACGAAATATTTGACAAGGATCCTTATAATTTTAAAGCTGTGCCACTGCTCTGCACCATAGTCGCAGCATTTAAAGAAGCAGTATATCATTTAAACAACAAGTGTATTCATTTATCTAGGACTTTGAAAAAGCTCAATAAATAATCAAGATGCTTTCATTTTGCTTAACAAGCAAACCTCTCTCACGACTTACCTTATCGAATGAAAACACATAGTCATTGATCCTGTTATGTGAAAGATCTGCGTATTTTACACAGCCATAGGCAACGGCTTCTTGGGCATCCTTCAACTCTTCTGGGGTGAGAACCTTGAGAAGCAATAAAGGCAAAAGAAACATTAGGTTCTCCACTGGAAAATGTCAATTTTAACAAAACTAGGTGACAAAAACAAAATGAAGAGCCGAGAAAAGAAGGTTAAAGGATATAAACATTTAAGGCGAGTTTTCGATTTTGCGTCGTAGGACCAAAGACGACCAATCAGGAAAAGGCAAATGTGAAAAGGAGCCAATGGGAATTCAAGGCGAAAGCATGAAAACTGTTTGCAGAGCGGAAAGGACTGAGTAACCAAGTCGCAATTGGTTTTATTTTTGCGTCTGATTGGGAGTTTTATTGACCAATCACAGAGCAAAGTAACAACACCGGATTACTTTCGACGCTAAATAAAAGATAGCTTTGACGAGCAACAAAACAGAAACCAACACAAAGCGCAAGAAAAACGGCTTGAACAAAAAAACAAGTAACGAGTGCCGAGCGAACATTTAAGGAAACCAACTTTGTCTCGTTCCTTGTCCTTCAGCTTATCCAGTGACCTTTTAAGACCTTCGTCAAGCAGATCAATGAGACGAATTGTGTCTCCCGAACGGGTTTTGAATTTCTTTCTGCAAGAAAAAGAAAAGATGATCAGAATCTGTTGTAAACACAGAAAACTCAAACGGTATAACTTCTCTTGCTTGGAAAAATGTCCTTCTGTATGAAACGACAAGACATTTCTTTCTCATGCGTTATTCGTCTTTCATCTTTGACATTGCCCCAGAGGTTATTGACCATACAAAGACAGAAGGGGGGAAGGGGGAAAGGGGAATCATCGTGCGGCGAGGCGAGGCGAGGCGAGGCGAGGCGAGGCGCGAATAATCACGACCGCAATAAGTAGCTTTTCCTTAGGAAAAAAGAGAACAGCGATACCTTAAAAGAGGAAATACAAATATGCCGAGCTATAAAACAATTCGACAATTACTAAATACACAAAGGTAAAAATTTACCCTCACAAGTTTAAGGACTTCGAGAACCAGAGTAGGATATGAAGGAAGGAGGGAGGGGGGTCTTCCAATACTTGTGTCTAACTGTGATATCCCCATCCCTCCCCTGACTAACTTACTTGTCCTCGCCGAGAACGACACCAAAACCGACATGATCCACTCGAATCACTTTCGGATCATAAATCCCAGCCTCTCGTGAAGCTCCAAAGATCAGTTTAAAATGATCTCCCTTGGATAAATGAAAGGAAAGTAAGGAGTTATTAGTCTGCAAATAACTGCAGTAAATCATCCAGAAAGGATATTGAGAAAGCCTTTTCGTGCAATAAGTTTCACAAGGCTAAGCAATCAAACCTGTTTTCATTTTCTAACGAAACTTTTCTCACCGATACTCTGTTGAAATATTTTTTTGTCGTCGTTAAGTTTTTTTTTTTTTTTTAACTTGGGGGCGGGGGGTTAGGGATAAACTTTACACTAGTACTTTGTCGAGCGCTGTTGATCAAGGTACAATTGTAAAAACGAAAAAAGATTCTTAGTAGAGTTAACACTGTAAGGTTCTTGGAGCCTCATTTAATCGAAACAGTAAAGGTAACAGCTAGGTAACCTCTCATTCTTAGTTTTCATTTCATTACATCGCTTTGGATTGTCAATGAATATAAAAATGGTTTTATGTCGCAACTCCGCACTTTTCAAAAACCCTCACCTGGCCAGCATCAGTGACGTAAATCAGCCAGTCGCCATTCTCATCACGCACTCTCTGCTGCAAGGCCGCCATATCAGATGTATCGTATGTGAATCCACCGTCAGACTTGACGACCGTCAGCGGTACCTTATATCCCTGAACAAAAACGACTTTACGGCCTTCGTCTTCGATTACTTTCCCTGAAATAAGACATTGCTATACTCGCCTTGTCTTCCAAAGAAAGTTACGTAGGCAGACCGATTTTGAGAATGGACTACGGTCTAAGGACGGCTAAAAGAAATATCTCTTGCTTGAAACATGTTTCCTAGAAAAAATGTAGCTATGAGCAGGCGACTCTTTACAGCACAAGAAGAGGTCACAAACCTTTCCGCTCAAGATCTGCAACAACATTAGGCATCATATCTTGATAAAATGACTCCCCTCTCTCGATCAAGGTGACATCCAGTCGCTCATAAATATTGTCAAACTCTGAAAGAAAAGTTGTGAGTCTGCAGCAATGGAATCAGACTGATGACGAAAGTGTTAGCTTTTATTACGAGACTGTTAACCTAAGGCAAAAGACAAGTGAAAAAGCTAATAAACAATTTTTCCCTTTTTCATTTTAAGGGTTTTTCTTTCAATCTTTACCCTTTCACCCCTAGGATCTCATTGTTAATTCTCCTTACTGTCCGTCATACAGTTCTTTCGATGTTAGTATGAGGAATTTGGTAGAGGATATACTTATAATCTCCTAATTGATATTTCTCCTTACTATTATCACTTGTCCGCTTGATATTGTTAGGAGAAATTACTTCTTGGTCATTCATGGGAGTTAAAGGGTTGAGTTTATAAAGACATTTCACCTTTCCTAGACTCATCACAAATAAGATTCCAGGCTTTCGTAACGTCTGGTTCACGCCCTTGTAATTCCACAACTCTTTGATAAGCCACCTTCTTAAATGCCTCATCTTCATCAAATCTCTTCTTGGATTCCTGAAATGTAAAATATACAGAGGAAGTCTGATGGTGTGGTCTGATTGTCTGTTTTATAGTATTCGTAAGAAGAACTGGCCAACAACTGGTGAGTAAACTCAGTCTTGGATTGCTTTTCAATTGACTGTTGTAAAACCAAAACCAAAGTACATCACAAAAGGCCGATCAGAAGAAAGGAAATACCTTTAACCCTTTAACTCCTAAGATCTAATTGTTAATTCTCCCCTCTAGCTGCTAGACGTTTCCTTGTAAGCAAGTTTCAAGAATTTGTTGTTAGATCAAGATAATAACTTCTGTCTGATAATTTCCATTACCTGTTTGCTAAATAGCCAATGTATATCATTGGGAGAAGTCACATGATAATCACTTTTGTGGGTTCAAGGGTTAAGAGCCAATAAGAACTCCAAGAAAAATCAAAATGCTGGAAAATGCTGGCGACCAAGTCGTGATTGGTTTAAGTTTTGCATCTGATTGGTTGAGAGGGTGGCACGAGTTTCTGGACCAATCAGAGAGCAAATCAAAGCTAACCCAATGCAATCCTGAAAATTGCTCTAATTAGGCAATACAAAACCAGAAAACCTGGCATATTGGAGGTGCATTGCTATGGTAAATGATGCTGTAGTCACATGGGACAGAAGTGAAATGAAAGTAAAAAAAATTGAAGAAATATCATTACAGTCTGGGTGAGAGTATTCCTGGAAAGGAATGTTACTAGTACCAGTGTCTGATGTTTCAACATCCCTGAGCAGAAATCAACAAGAGAGTTAAGTGATGAGTTGTTTATATGTCTGCCACATATCTTACAGGTATCAGGTAATGATAAATATGCTGTGCAATCTTAGTTAGCATGCTAAGAGAAAAAGTCAGAGATATCTGGATGAAAAAGCATAACATACCTTGTAGAAAGCCTGCAGATCACCAATGGGTGGTGAAACTTGCAGATAATTTGGAAACTTGTCCTGGAGATGAGCAATCAACATCCCAAACTGAGTGCCCCAGTCTCCAACGTGATTAAGGCTAAAACACAAATAAACATGAGGAAAAACTAATAAGTTTGCTTGACCACAAAGAAGATTTCAAATCATTTTGATAGTATGAGTTGGGTGTGGGGAACCCTTATTTGTTGCTGTATTTGAGGTCATTAAACACCTTCTGTGACATCTTGGAAACAGCCATGTTGGCAAATTAAGCATTTAATTAATAAGCTAAGGAATGATTTGAGTTCAGTCAGTCTTCCATACTTCAAGTTAAGAAGTAATATGCCATCCTGACATTGCAAGAATCTATCTTTAGACAAGCAGTAACCAAACCCTTCAGGTCTGATGGAGGAAGTGGGGTGTCCCCCACCTCTCCCCCCCCCTTAGGTATTCCTGCTGGCTCTGCCACTCCACTGGGTGCCTAAAGGCCCTTACCTCAGCACACTAAAACAGGTCACCAAAAGACAAAACTAAGCTGCCTGATGTGGCCTTACCGTAGGACATCATGCCCAACAAATTCAAGAAGACGACTCAGGCTTTCTCCAATAATTGTAGACCTTAGATGCCCAACATGCATCTCTTTGGCGATATTTGGAGAGGAGAAGTCAATGACACATCTCTTCTTGACTGGAACAGCAGGAGGTTGTACTCCGTTTGTAAGAATGTCTTTTAGCATTGATGACACAAAGTTATGACTGAGACTTATGTTTATAAAACCAGCTCCAGCCACTTCAACCTATATCAAATAAAAGTTGAAAGAAACAAAACTTTTCCTTTATAATTGTGAGAGAAGATTGATTTTTACCAAGTCTTTCCCTGCATTATTGATCTCACCTTTTGCATGAGATCATTCTGAGGTACATTTGCCACAATTGAAGTAGCAATTTGACGAGGGTTGCTGTTGATCCCCTTGCTTTTGAGTATCTGTGGATGGTAAAGTAGCAACAAATAGTTTTTATGGACTAAAAGAATCACAGCACTCTTACTATCAAATCATGTTGCTGTCAACATGCACAGGAAATGAAGGCAACTTTCAAGGATTAAATTAGTCGTCAATTGCTTCCCTTTGCTCTGAGATTATTCGAGAAAAGTCATACCACCTTTAAACAAATCAGATGCAAAAACTAAAACCAATCACAACCTGTCACCTGTGTTTTCCTGTGACTTAGGTAGTGTGCTTTTTTATTTTGTTTTCTTAATGAGGTCCTCATAACACTTATCCATGTTGTGATTGGCTGTTGTGATATCATTTGTTTCAGTCATACAAAACTCAATCCAAATGTTCTAAATAACTTATTTGACATTTAAATAACTAACATATTATAGAGTGACAAAAATGACTCTATATTATACCTCAGTTAGAAGGTGCACTATGATTGGTCAGCTAGCAAGCCATATTTCACCGTGGAGACTGACCACCAATTAAAAAGTTTGTTTGAACTGGAATCTTCCCCCTTTATTTGAACACTGAGGCATAATAAATATCTTATTAACCTGATATTCACTGTCTGTACCATAAGTTAAAGAACCTCCCTTTTTCTGCCTATATTTATGACCCATGTGGAAAAAACAAGGTCTGTAACTTACAGTATTGACCTCAAACTTGATTAGTAAGAGGAATTTATACAAGACACCTTGCAATTTGTATCACCTGGTTAATTGCCATGGCACTGTTACACTGGTAATCTCCAAACTTTTCACCCTGAGAGGCCTGTACAAGAACAGGGGCATCTGGTAGTTCAGGAAATGTTTGTGCAATAGCTTTTTTGAACATTTCATTCAGTGTGAACTGGCAGTTAGTCATGATCCTCTTGGAATTGGCTTTCTCTTCCTTAATGCTCTGAGAAAAAAGTATTTAAAATGAATTACAAAGAACTTCCTAATGACAGTGGTTGTCTTGGAGAATTACTGAATGAAAGAAGACTTTCTTACACATAGGTAAATACATTGACAAGTAGATTACTTTGAGATATGAACCCCAGGGTAGGAGACAAACAGCGCAAGGTTTGACTGAGAACTGAGATCTGAGATCTAAAGAAGATCTGCCACTCTGGGTTGATGGAGTGAATGCACTTTTGCATGTAAATAATAGAGCACTCTTTCACTGGGTGCTGCACAAACAAGGGTGACAATCACATGTGAGTTTATATTATTACAACCAGTTTTAGCATTGCATCAATACCAATCGCTCTGATGAAGGGCTAACGCTCGAAACGTCAGCTTTTTTACCCTTTACGCTGGCTAATTTACGTTTTCAACTCAGTTGTTAACACCAAATTACTTACTTAGTATTGCATCAGATTGGTTAGGAAGGTGGCACAGTTTATTTTCTTTTTTTTTCTCTAAGGTGCATTGTCATGTTGTCAAGACCAAAGACAAGGAGCATGGCAAAGAGAAACGAATGCAATCTTTTGACTCGACATGGGGAATTTCTCAAAAAAATAAGGAAATGTGTAGTGAAACTGAAAGAGGAAGTTACAATTATTGCACTGATCATGTGTAAAATAGGAATTTTGTTTGATGTCAAATACATTTGGTAAAATTAAACAATTGAAGAGTGATTTGGAGTATCTCTTACACGCTTGAGGGTCTCCACTTGGTATTTAAGCTTGCTGTTCTCAGTAAAAAGCTTCTCCAACTCCGGATCACGTGCACTATCATTGGTTCCATCGTCGGATGCAACACAATCTTGTAATGCCTCAATTTTCCTCTTCAGACTTAACATTTCATCCTCCTAATAAATATAAAAAAAGTTAAGGTTACCTTAGAAGTATGAGGAAAAGCTTGAGGAAGTTGGATAAGAAATCTCACCGCTATTTTTGCGCGTTTGGAATATTCTTCAACAACAGTGCCGTCCGCCATTTTGTTGTTTGCAACACGTGGGTGTCGTGACACGTGAAAACCTTTGATTTGTGAAAACTTAAAACTTGCGTAGAAGGCGCTGGATATCACCTTCTGAGAACTAAAAGGAAACAATTTCCGCGTAACAATAAAAAAAATCATTTATTGCATGACGAAATACTGAAAGATAAATTTTATTGGCCGGGCTGCAAGGCTTTGGGTGGTTACCAATTAAAAACAACATGGCGAACGATTTGGCTGATTGGGACTGATTGGATTTTATGGCGGTTACAGTCGCTTTAGAGTCAGTCTAGAAGCTCGTGTTCATTTATATAAAAGTTTCAAAAACATGGGTTCGCTCGGCCATGCGCAGATCGGAATTTCGACGTTTTTTCCTTCTTCGCATCCAACAGATCGGTGCGGTACAAATGGAACATCCCTCTCACTCCAAATTCCATCATGTTGTTGTTTGTAACACGTGGATGTTATGACACGTGAAAAACTCTGATTTGTGAAAACTTAAAATTTACGTGGAAGGCGCTGGATATCATCTTCTTAGATCTACAAGGAAACAACTTCCGCGTAATAATAAAAAAAGGTGAAATTTCCGCACAGCCCCATGCTATTGTAAAATAAATCTGTTTTCCCAATGGCAATGTATTGTTTTTGCTATTGTTTTCTCTATCCAAAGACTAAATGCAAAATGTAGGATGGGGCTGTGCGGAAATTTTACCAAAAAAATTCATTTAATGCACGGATCAATTTTTTTTTGGCCGGGCTACAAGGCTTTGTGTGGTTACCAATTAAAAACAATATGGCGGAAGCCTGGAAGTAATTGGATTTTATGGCGATAACAGTCGCTTTAGAGTCAATCTAGAAGCTTATGTTCCTTTATATAAATTTTTTTTAAGAAAATGGGTTCGCTTGGCCGTGCGCAGATCGGAATTTCGACGTTTTTTCCTTCTCCGCATCCAACAGATCAGTGCGGTACAAATGGACTACCACTTACTCCAAATTCCATCGTAATAATTGGTCGGTTTCAGCGATTGAAAACTCTTTACCATCAAAATGTGTGTCAGTATCTGGATATCATCAGAGCCAAACATGGTGAGTTTCTTTTGAAAAATGGTAAAAATCTTCTTTTGGAAACCTCAAAAACTTTTCACGAGGACGATGTTTTGCAGGGGGAGGGTTGTGTCTCTGAGGCCCTCATCTCCAACCATTCGATAGTTTTCCACTCTGTATGAGTGCACGACACTTGAGTTCTCTGCAGTTAATTTATTATAATAATGTTAAGCATCACCAGGGTCTCGATATCACATAATTGTTTGTACTAAATAAAGGATGTGAACACCAACAAAAATAAAATGACTGTTAATTATGATGATTAAGCGAGGTTATACTGTATTGAATTGTTAATATCTTTTCAGAAAGGCTCATAGTTGCTGAGGAGTTCTATTCTGAAAATTTACAGCTTGCTTTGAAAAATGGTAAAAAATTTAGGTGAGTTTTTTTTGCAGATGATCGGCTAGTAATAAATTAAGTTCCCTTAACCCTTTAACTCCTTGAAGTGATCAACTTTTAACTTCTCCCAATAATATCCATACATTATCCAGCAAACAGATAATGAGAATAATCAAACTTATCAGGTAGAAGTTGCTATTTTGATTTAACACAGAATTCTCACAACTAATTTACAAGGAAATGTGTAACAGCAAGCAGAGAGAATTTAACAATCAGATCTTGGGAGTTATAGGGTTAAAAAAAGGAATGATCAACAGACTTTGAGAGAATTGCCCTTATTGCAGTAGGTCATCCACAAGCTTTTTTCTTCATTTGATGTGATAGTGTTGGGTTTGCTTGTGGAGACAAATATTTAAAGAAACAAATATTGTTCAACAATTCTATTTTTTTACTTCAACCTCATGGTCCAATTTTTCTCGTCCCCCCAATGGCCACATGACTAAAGTACTCTGGGGGCTGGGGTGGGGTAACTGTCTGCCCCTTATAACAACAAAGAAACACTACATTTTTGAAGAAAACATTCAGAATATATGCCAATTATTTTTTGAGAGTGTTTGAATTCAGATGTTATCAATTAATCATTAATTTCCATGTGATTTTTATCTTGCAGTTATACTGATATTAAAACAATTGCATTTCAAGTTGTTCAAGGCCTTTCCTTTCTCAATGCACATGGCATTGTCAATAGGAATTTGTCTCCTGTGAACATAGTATTCACTCCAAAGGTTAGGATCTTTACAATTCATGGTCACGATCAAATGTCTTTTTGATTTTTGATGCACCAAATTCCAGTCCATTCCATTCCCATCATTCGTACGATTCTCATGACAGTTTGCTTTATTTGTTTATACTCCTTAGTGGATTGAGGCACTGTGAGAGTGAGAAGTTTGCACAAGAAAACAACACAATTGATTCAATGCTAGCTTCAAACCAGACCTCTTGATCATGTGTCCATTGTTAACCACTGAGCTTTAACATCTTTCACTGCTTTATATTGTAGTAATTACTTAATTAAGTTCTGTTTATCTTTGTAGAGTAATGAATATGTCTTTTTGATTTCAGGGTGGAGTCAAATTATCCAGAAGTTGTTTATATCACATGACTGGTTCTGGGGCTCGAGTTGCATTTCCAATTGGGTAAGCTGTATATTATTTAGTGCTCTATGTATATGTCAGAAGAAAATGTATATGAGAGATGACAATGATTGAAAAGTTTCAAATAACAGTTTATTTGATAATGGTTAAAGTTACTAACTCTGATTTCCTTTGATGAAAATAATGTGGCTTACATATTTAGCTCAAAACATATCAACTTTTTTGTGCAGTTCTCCAGTATTCATGGCTCCTGAGGTGGTTTTAACAGGCCAAGGCCTCTCACCTGTATTTGGACCATCAGGACCAAAGGTATGCATTATTTACTGTCAATAACAACATTTATTAATGTGATATTGTTTTGAAGTTTTAATTTGAGGGCACACTCTAAAAGGAAAAAGGTGATTTGCAATGTTCTGTAGCTAGTTATTTGTTACCCTAAGCTCATACATGTTAAGATTTCACATTAGCCCCATGACCCTTAAGAGTAACCAGTATCTAATTTCTCCTTACAATTTCACCCTGAATCACACACTTAAAGATAACAAGAATAAAGGAAATGATAACCAACTAAAGCTGCTTGTGTTTGTCAAACAAATTCTCCTTGTCAGCCCCATAGTAAATGTATAGAGAACAGTATGGAGAATATGCATACTGATGTTAAGGTGTAAAGGGTCAAAGAATGTGGGAAAGTACTTAGAATAAAGTAAATTACAAATCAATCCAGTTTGAATCATTTTAACTTGAAATTTTGAACTTCTGCCATGACTTTCAACTTGGATATTGATTGAAAGTTATTGTCATTTTTTCAATTTTGCCTTATTTTAGGTTGATGTGTGGTCTTTGGGGATGGTTTTGATTTACCTGATATTGGTAGGTACAGATTTCTATTTAATAAATAAATTAGCTTTGGTTTTTCCGTTAACCCTTTTCTACCAAGAGTGCACAGAATCTTGCATTTTTTTTTTCTCCTCATTCATTCTCAGGAAGGGTCTTTGTGGGCAACTGAATCTGAAAACAATCATGTACAAAAGATATTCTTGAAAGTTCTCTCTCTTGTAAAAGGTGTTCAAGGTAGGTAGTGCTATGTTGTTCACAAATTGTTGTTAATTTTAGCAGTATATCAGATATCAGAATTTTCAAGTTTCAAGTGAAGGTAATGACAATTAAAGATTAGTTTTATTTTAAGCCCATTCTCCAAATGAATGTGCTTTAATGCACTTTACAGTACCCTTTGGGGGACTTAAATCAGACTTCATTGAGCAGTTTACAACTTTTGAGAGGGAATTTTCCTGGTCCCCCCTAATTTAGGAATGTTTGGAAACAAGTCCAGTACACAACACTGGAAGCTATGTACCCTACACCTTGAGATAATTGCATGGGTTTTTAAGTCCCCTGCTGACCAGTATGGAGAAGAGGCAGGAGACGGGGCCTATGGTTTATCATCCTCATTGGAAAAAAAACTAGAATGTCTTTACAACCATTTGCAGATGCCATAGCAAAGGTAGAACATTCTCCTGAGTGAACTTGGTCCAGTTTAGGGCTTGAACCCTCAAGCCACATCATGGCAGTCCAGTGCTCTCCAACATGAGCTTACCAGGCTGCAGTAGTTTTACTGCCTAACCAGGTTTTTTAATTTCCATCAGATTCTTCAAGTGATGTTCTTAAACTTCTCTTTGATGACAATCATGCACTGGAAAAACTCCAGGTTAGCAACATTCAAGAGGAAAGTGCATTTGAAAATTCTTCATATTATTAATAAAAATAATTTGATTAAGGTTGGCATGTTTTGGTCTTTATTTCTTGTAGGAAATTCCTTCAGATCTGGCTTCTTTTCTAAGAATTTGCCTGACAGTGGATGTTGCCAAAAGGTTTATTTCTAATTAATATCTCTTTACCTTTTTATTTATTTACCTTCCATTTATTCCTATATGGTGACATGTATACAAAAATATACTTTGATCCACATAATACTCATGAAAGTGGTACTGGTAACAGTACTTTACTTACATATGTTCCACAGGCTAGACCAGATAAGCATAAACCTAGAAAGCTTAGTGACCATTTGACCTTTAAGATAGGGAGAGTGTTATTCAACAAATGATCCACTCTTTCATTTTTGTCTTACCAGTAAGTTATAATGCTGCTAATTCTAACTTGGTAAATGAAAATGTATTAATTAAATGTTTTTTTCCCTAGGCCTGTCCCATGTGAGTTACTGAATCATGAAGTGTTTGCCAACTTCGATAAAGCAAAGGTAATTCTTATCAGGACTCTTGTTTGAAAGGGTAGACAATGCCATCCCACAGATAAATAGCTTTTTCATTTTTTTACTATTCAAGTCCCCTGAGACTGTTTTTCAACTCAAAATGCCTTGACTATGTCTCATGTAACTGTCTGATTTTTACATGCCATTACCTTGTTTATATTGTAAAGATAACTTCATGGTTCCCACCAGGTGAAACTAACCAATGGATTTCAGAAATTTCCTGCTGTATTCAACTTAAAAGAACTTCCTGTTGGTGATTTTCAAAATGATGATTTATTGCAAGGTAAGATGGCTAATCTCATCTGTTTAAAGATGATTACAATTTTCAAGATGACTATATGTGTGCTGTACGACTTCAACACAGACAAAGTGTGTAATTCTGCGAACCCCACTTGAGTGGGGTTTGTGCATATGTATGAGCACTGTTACCTAGTAACGCGTGACGTATTTTGGTTGGTATGGTATGGCTGAGATTCAGGGTCTGTTTCTTGTTCTTCAACAGATGTTGATGATGACGAAGAAGATCTCCTTTCTGAGAGGTTTGATTGGCATTCTATTTTTTGAGGGGGTTAGGTAAACAGTATTCACAGACAAGTCACTTAGAACGGGCACATAGTCAAATGTTAACCCTTTGCCTCAAGGAACGACTAGCATCCAATTTCTCCTTACAATATCACCCTGAATCGAACATCAGGGTCACAAGAATATAGTAAATGATCGCCAAACTAAAGCAGCTTGTGATTGTTTAAACAAGCTCTCCTGGTCAGCACCTTAAGAAATGTATAGAGAACGGTATAGAGGATATGCAAACTGATGTTAGGGTGTAAAGAGTTGGTATTCAGCTGAGTTAGATCCAACTGTAAAATTGTTTTTCACGTTTGTTTCTTTAGACCGCTACACGAGGTGTATCACTTATGGAGACTGGCTGGAGGAGATATGGAAGGAGAACTGAAGAAACGAGGACTTATTAAGACAAAGCCTCCAATAATGACGCTTCCAGTGTATGTAACTAATACGCCACCAAATATTGAACAATTAGATTATGATTTTGGGATTTATTTCGCGTGATAGTTTATCAGGGCCTCGCCCTCACAAACTTTCTCGCATAGAAGTTTACTTCGTGAACGTTTTGCCTCGCAGTTAGTATTTCCTTTCCTACCAGTCTGCGTATTTACCAGCGCTTTCACTGATTAAACTTCATTTGCCATGATAACAATGATTAAGATTTCTTTAGTTAATATTGATTAAAATCCATTCTTGTTGACTTTTGCAGCATTCTACTACACACTGGAGAGGAACTTGGAATGGAAAAAGATCGAGTGTTACTCTTAGATGAAACAATAGTTCCTGTATCGATGGCACAACTTAGACAGGTAAAATGGACTGAAATTAAAGGAAAAGCATATACGCAGGCTTGTTTAATTTGTATTACAGTTGAAGCTCTTATCTGTTACTCATATATGTCCAATGATTTTATTTCAGAGGCTCAAACATGTGGATCCATCTGCATATTTTCCACTCATTGAGGAGGATGAGTATGAAATAGTTTCACCTGTTTTAAACTTCACTAAAATAATGCTATATGGAAATTAAGCTGTAAAGGAAAGCCTCAAATTGTTAACATCACTAAAACTTGATCGTGTTATCTGACCGTCCGGGTGAGAGAAGCTCTGAGACGGACTACTGTCGGAAGTAGAAACTGACGTTTCGATAACTCCTTAAAGAAGTCATCTTCAGACTCGAGTGAAAACTTGTTGTCATTCGAGTGTATTACATCAAGTCCGCGTAAAATGATTGGTCACTTTTACTATGACGCGTAACGTCAAAACAAGTCGTGGAGATAGGTGCAGAGTACGCCCCAGCGACAATTCTCCTGGTATGGCGTGGTGAATTCTTGTGCAAATCTCTGCGATAAATCATCGCCTAGGGTGCGTGCTCTGGTTAAAATGTACGCCATGCCGCCTTATACAGTTGCTTTATGCTACAGAAACTAAACTGAGCTGCGGCAACTATGCGATTTAGCCTTCTGACTAAACCTTTTTTTTCTTGTTCTTGTATTAGTCCATCCTCTAGATATGCTCTTCTCGACACAGCTGACCTTCCCTTGACAATTAGAGAGACAACTGTGGATTACCAGGTAGAGTGAACTTAGAGTAAGATACATGAAATCTGCGTGCAATGTGCGTAGCACGCACAAGTTGCCCGTGTCTTGCACGAGTGCAGCCGCAGCAGTACACTGTATGTTAAGTGGTTTTTTTAATTGAAAAATACAAAGGTGTGTCTAACATTGGTGTGTTTTTTAGTTTCACAGAATTGTCCTGTTTCAAAGACTCCTAGAGGTAGGAGCAATATACTAAAAACATTTACATGTTTAAGTACTTAATATATTTTGTAAAATTTTGACATTGAGAACACTTCCATTATTGTTTCTCTTGTCATTTAGTGAGTCAGAAAGAGCTTTCGCGTCAGTGTATGGTATTTTGATTCATAAATGACT